CTAAAAACCGGCTCCCCGCACCCGGGGCGGAAGGGTAGGGAGGGGGAGCTTGGAAGATGGAAGGGGGAAGGGAGAGGCTTGGGGTGGTGTAAACGCGAGGCGGGAGTACTTGCCGCTGGTCCCTAGAGCCCGGCACCGGCTCCAGGGAACAGCCCCCTCAGCCCCCATTTTCTCAGGATCCAGAAAGGACACCCTACTTTCCCATCCATGAGCGCCTAAGCATTGGGGAAGGGGTCCGGGACATGGCCTGGTCTCAGCGTTCTAAAGAGGCGAGGGTCTGCGCTTTGGGTACTAGACGGAAGGGGCTCAGTGCCTGCTGGGTTCGAAAGGCATGGGCGAGAAGGGAGCATTCACTAGGGGGCGAGGTCTGAGGGCCCGGGAAAGGAGAGACAGGACGCCCAAGGCGCACACCAGTGAGTGCGTCCTGGAGAAGGGCCGGTCCATGGTGGATGGGCCTTCTGGGCGGGCGGTGGACAGCGAGGGTCTGGGGAGTTTAGGAGTAAATTGTTTTGGGGAGGGGCGCATGAGAGATCCCGGAGAGGAGCTCCGTGGCAGAGCTCCTAACGGGCGGGGCTTGGGGAGAGGGCCTAACGGAGGGCGGGGCATTGTAAAGGGGCGGGGCTAAGGAGGCCGTTCTAAAGGGGTGGGCTTAGAACTCCGAGGCCTAGCAGTGGGGAAGACCCCGGAGTATTTCAAAGGGAGATCCAGTTCGTTAGAGGCCAGTTTCAAGCTGTCTGACAGGAGGGCGTGGCCTCGAGCCAGGGGGCGGGGCCTAGATCTCGGGGTCCGCCCTAGGTGTCTCGCCCACTCGCCTTCACCCGCACCCCCGTTCTTTTCGGTTATTTTCTTCTACGGCCGTTCCCCGCCCCGCCCTGGGCCCAGGGGGCCGTGGTGTGAACTTTGGTGGGCAGGAGAAATCGGTGAGTGGGAACCCCTGGACGGAGGAGCCAAGGGCGGAACTCGGGGGGGAAAGGGTGGAGCCTGAGGGTCGAGGCCTGCGGTAGAACCCGAGCAGGGAAGAGTTAGGATTGAGCCTGAAGCTCCGCCGCTGCTTGGGTAGAAGGCAGGCCCCAAATGATCGACATAGAGAGAGATCAGAGGGTTGGAGGTGAGGACAGAGGGCTTAGCATGACTAGAACACCTGGAGTTTGTTAGGTGGAGGCGGGGCCAGGCCTGAGTAGGTGTGGAGGAGGCCCTGTTTCCTGACAATTGGGGCGGGACTAGAGAGTGGGGGTGGGGTTACAGTGCGGGATGAATGTGGCCTGAGCGAGAGGAAAACGGGCAAGACCTGTGTCTTGGAGCCTGAAGACCTGGGAGGTGGCCAAAATGTAGGAATGTGGTGTGAGGGACCAGCCAGGGCATTAGGGATAGAATCGCATTAAACTAAGAGGATGGAGCCTGTGTGGAACCAGCAGCTGTATGGGGGAAGAAGGAGTCGGAACACGAATGCGTCTAGAGACTGGTGCCTGAGCGGACCAAGTACAGCCAGTCTCGTCGGGTCCCCACAGACCTGGCAGACTGACTGGTGCAAGTTTTCTGACCACAGTCTCCGACCTCCGTCAGAAATGGGGAACGTGCAGTCGGAGCCGTCCGCGGGCGGGGGCTCCCGAAAAGAGCAGGCCTCGGACCGCTCTTCCGCCTCCCGCCGGACATCCTTGGCGGAGCCCGAGGTGACCCCCTCCTCCCCTGCCATACGCCTGGCTCGCGGGCTGGGCGTCTGGTTCCCCAGCAGCTCAGCGTCCCAGGGACTCCTGGTACCCCCGGAGCCCCAGGCCTCACCCTCGCCCCTGCCCTTAGAACTGCCCTCGCCAATGATGCCCCCTTCAGAGGAGACGGCTGCAGCCGCGGTCTCCACACCATCCCCACCCCCCGTGGGGACCCTGTTGCCCACGCCGTCTAAGTGGCGAAAACCCACGGGCACTCCGGTGCCTCGGATCCGTGGTCTACTGGAGGCAAGCCATCGCGGCCAGGGCGACCCTCCGAGCCTCCGCCCACTGCCGCCGCCGCCGCCGCCGCCGCCACCCCCGCCCCTGACACGAGCCGAAGAGGACCCCGACCCTGTCCCGAGGGCCCCATCCCTGACTCCGCCATCCTTGGAACCGCGAAAGCCGTCACCACCGCCGCCTTCCGACCAGCAGACCCCGGACCGCAGAATAAGTCCTGCTCTGGCCACACTTGCCGCAACCCCCATAGAAAACCAGGTCCCTCGCGGCATCGAGGGCCAGGCAGCCGGCAGGGCCGGAGGAGGAGCGCCTGCCCAAGCAGGCGAGGGTGAAATGGCCCGGCCTGTGGCTTCCGAGTCTGGCCTGAGTCTGCTGTGTAAAGTCACCTTCAAGTCGGGGCCTCCTTTGCCCCCTGCGGCAGCATCGAGTTCCTTAGTCGCCAAAGTCTCGCTAGGGGGCGGCGGAGGCAGGGGACTCTTCTCCACTGCCTCGGGCGCCATCTTCTTTATGCGAGGTCTGAAGCAAGGGCCCCTGGCTCCTGGGGCGCTCGCTCCCTGGAGAGTCCCTCGGGTGACC